GTGTGTCCACCAAGCCCACCCGAGCAAAAGGTTCATCCCCTTTGTAGGATTGAAAAGGACAAAGGGGCCTTGTGTCAATCCGAAGTGGGAAGCCTTTGCGAACATTAAACAAAAAACAGCCTTCATGGTGAATTTTCCCATCTTGCGATTGGTAGCTTGAATTTGCCGATCAGCTAGATGTGGCGCGGCACAAACATGGCCATACACGCTCTGGGGATTTGACTTGGGCTATTCCCCCGCACGGAAGGAAATGAATGATCTTGGTTGAGCCCGGAGTGGCTTCATGATTTCTTGACCATTTACATCACTGTGCAAGTTTCTGTCAGGGCTTAAACCACAGGCTTGCGTGATACGTGTCTCCGGACTGCCTGGTTTTTGATAGGTTCGGGGCGCGTTTTTACTCGCAAGATAGAAGTTCGAACTGTTCATGGGCTACGCTGCAGATGGCTCCTCTGCAGTGTTGCTGAATCTGGCACAAGCCCTGCTCGAAGCCAGTTGTCAGTGTGGAGCAAAAGACTGCTCTGCTACAAGTGCTGACATTGCGTGTCTTGATCTTGACATTGCTGCTTGAGCAGACATTGTATCCCTTGGCTAGACGTCTGGCTTGTGTGCGCAGGGCGCAACCTGCGGGTGCATTTGCACGGGGCTGAACTTTCTTGGCGCTACAATGCATTGCAGGGCCGGATTGGCCTGCTAGCCAAGCACCGTATGATGCCGTGCAAGGGTGACACCTTGCTTGACTTGCCTCTTTTAATAGGAAATTAACGCGCTTGTAGCCGCTCAATCTGTTCTGCGAAGACATGCGTCGCGCTGTCGAGTGAGTTGCAGATTTGGTGCAAGTCTGGCGACGTGGCAAACATTACCCAGCAGTAGTGCACGGACGCAGGCCGTTACAACTCGCTGTGCAAAAATGTGGCCCGCAGTCGCAAGTTGCGCTGCCCCCAACCTCAGCTTGCGCCTGTTGAGTGACAAGCCGCAGGGCGCAGCGGAAGACTTTCCTTGGATTTTCTTGGAACTTGACTCTTAGCTAAGGGACTCGGTTTGCACTCATGTGAGGCATTTTTTTTGCTCAGAAGTGTCTTAGTGTGCTGAGCGCTGGCTGAGCCATGGCTAGCACCAAACATCGCAGCCGTGATCAAGCGGACAGGGGCACTACACGGCCGTGATTGGGCCTGCGCAACTTCTGCTGTGATGACGTCGGAGTCCATGCCAGCAGCTGGCGCACCAGACCCAGCCGACCCCTCGTAGAGCGCCGGAAAAGCAGCTGACAGCCCGAGCTTCTCTGAGCAATTGGGCAGTTGGTCGCGCAGATGGAGCTGCAGAAGCACCAATTGCAGCAGCAAAGCCTCCTGTTGCAGCTGCTCTCCATGGGCAAGCAAGCGTCGGGCGCAGCACCCGGATGCCCCTGAAGACCCGGAAGTCGCCAGCGGCCCCGCGTGGCGCACAGCGGCTGTGGCCAAGGGCAAAGCCAAGGCTAAGACCAAGACAATGGTTCGGTCCGCGGGCAAAGCAAAGGCCAAGGGCAAAGCCAAGTGCAAGAGGCGGGTGCCACAAGCGGGGAGTGACTGTCGGCGCAACTTGGCAAGGGCGCAGCAGCATGGGAGCACCTTCTCTGGGTGACGCTTAGGCAACTCTGTCGGTTGGCTTTGCTCCTGGGCATGTGCTGGGGCATGCTCTTGGCAAATTTGCAGCTGGCAAGAGCCATCTTCAACACCAGTGAAGCACTGCAAGCTATGAGCTGCTGCAAAGAGTGCCAGAGTTGCCAAAGCGACTGCTGATGCAAGCCAGGTGCACGCTTCTCTCCTCCCATTTCCATCGTGGCGTGGTGCAAAAAGGGCCACACACATACACCGCACAACATGACCTGAATGATCTTGATTGAGCCCGGAATGGCTTCATGATTTCTTGACCATTTACATCACTGTGCAAGTTTCGGTCAAGGCTTAAACCACAGGCTTGCGTGACACATGTCTCCGGATTGCATGGTGTTTGATTGGCCAAGGACGCGTCATTTTGTTCCTGGCTGCAAGATAGAGGATTGCACTGTTCATGGGTTACACTGCAGATGGGTCTTGCTGAATCTGGCACAAGCCGTGCTCGAAGTCAGCTGTCAGTGGCTGGCAACCTGGAGCAAAAGACTGCCTTGCTGCAAGTGCAGACATTGTGTATCTTGATCTTGACATTGCTGCTTGAGCAGACATTGTACATCTGGACCTTGACATTATTTTGCGCATTTCACTTCGACATTGCAATCGGCGAAAAGTGGCATATGTGTTTGCGGGATATGTCATAAATCATTGCAAAGGCAAAACTGGGAATCGCCAAGGGACACATCTGCACTTGGGGTGGACCCCCCATTTAGGCTGAGACTCAAAGAGAAAACTGAAGGGAAGTGAACAATTGTAGGGGTAATGTCCTGCTTTAGAAGACAAGGGGTGTCTTCAACCTCACGTTTTGCTGGATAGAAGGGAAAGTGAAAGACTTCCAAAAACTAAAAAGCAACAGGGGAGCTAAGTCTGGCAAGAATGGAAGGCATCAAAACCAGCCTTGTGGGAAGCACAAACTTTGCACTTGCAGTCTCGGGCAGGAAAAGAAGAAAAGCGAACGATCTGTGCGGTTCGGGGAAACCCTTCATTTTGCCACAAAGGGAACAAGAACTCCCCCCCCATTTACTGCAACCTACTGTTGTTTTGGGTGATAGTTTAAATAGGCCCCAAGTTACCGCCATCCACCATGGTTTGGTTGACTTGCAATATGATAAATTGGACATTCATCGTACCAGCCCTCACGAAACCTGTGGGTCATGGTTCCCTTAACAGGACCCAATTACATGGGTCTAAAGTTTTGAGGACTTGCAACACATACTGTGGATGGACGAAATCCTGCATCAGATGGGATATATATATACACATACAATGCAACCCTAACAAACACTGAAATGAACCACCTGCTAGCTGCTGCAGGATTGTGTCCATCCACAGTAGTGGTCCACCTTCTCTCTCATCATCACTTCCTGAGTGAATTAGCCAAAAACCGTCCAAACTGCTCATTTACCACTCAAAGGATCTTCCCGCAAAGTTTAAAGTCCAGGAACTCAGGAAATAAGTCTCTCCTTCGACGTTGTTTTTTCCGGCTCCGCAAAGTCATGTCACCGTGTCGCGGAGCATCTCAGCAAAGAGCCGCAAGTCCACCTGACGTTGGCGGGGCCGGGCGGCGGGCGTGAAGTTTATTGGGCGGACTCGAGCTGGACAGAAAAAGGGGAGAAATACCGTGGATGGTTGCGAAATCCGAAAGCAAAGCCATGATAGGACAAGGGGTTTTATATTTTGGGCTTTCCAATACTGTCTTGAGGTCGGCCACACTCGGCCAAAATCGATCCAGAAATCTGCCGTTGGCATTCCCATGACTGCTTTATCACTGGGAGCCCCATTAAAAACAATTTACAGCCACAGCATCAAAATATTATCAAAATGGCGGTGCTCCTTTGCTCACACTCAAAAACACTCAGCCGTCAGCCAAATTCCGCACGCAAGCGTGCCGCGCCCATTTTGTCTTTGCTACCTATCCCATGCGCATCTTTCGCGCGGGAGCCCATAGACAGTGAGGCGTTCACTGAGAGAGTCTTTGATCATAGAACGCGGTTCGCCACTTGGGTCACACAGTAACAGGGGCAACTCCACTTTGGGGGACTTATCATCTATTTTCGAACAACCTTTCCACATCGCCAAGGAAAACCACCATTTTGGGGGGACCCTATTACAAAAAACAACCTGGCTAGTGTCTTGCAAGTTGTGGGCTCGTCAACTCGTGGCTTGATGTAGGGCCATCAACTTGCGAGTGTTTGTCGGTTTTGCTGTTCGAGGTGTTGTGGTCGTTTTTTTCAACTAAGGTCATGCCGGACATGGGTTTGTCGCAAAGTCTGGGGACCCCGGAAATGGACTTCGGTTGTCCCCCTGAAAACCCTGAGCCCAAACGGCTCCCCCGGAAAATAGAAATGATGCCGCAGGTTTGGATTGGGACCATCAAAGGACAGAACAAAAACCCCGGGCCAGTGCCTGGTTGGTCCTAAAACCTGGAGAACGGGCACTGGCCCCTGAAAAAGAGCCAACTGGCCCAACCAAATTTGATGATGTCGTGCGGCAAAAAGGCATTCATGAAGTAACGAGCAGCAGTCACTGGATTTCTCTCCTTCAAACACAACGTATTGCTGGGTGCCAATATTGGCAACTCCGGGACCCCCGAACAGCCCCGCGAAGTCGGGGCACAGTGTGGATGGACGAAATCCATTTCGCACCACTTAGAAACAATGGGAAACCGTAAGGTTTGTTGGTATTTGCAGGGGGATCAAATCATTCCCTTGCGTTTCTTGGGTGGTGCGAAATGGATTTCGTCCATCCTGAGTATTGACACAGCCTTGGACTTGATGGCTGAGCCCAAAGACGGACGCTTCACTGGCACAAGGCAGAGTCCGGGCTTAGCCCGAAGCAGTGAGGCTGGGGCATCCTTACGGATGTCCCCCAAAGAGTCATACGGAGTAAACCCTCGGGTTTCCCAGCTGCCCAAATCGAGGTCGACTTTCTCGCCGCTTTTGAATGACACCCAGGAATACTCGCATGGCTTTCGCAAGGGCGCGGGGGTTGCTTTGCCCGACCTTCTTGTCTTCGGCAAAGGGTCACCTAAGCTTCAGGTGACCTGATCGGCCGTTTTTTGAACCAAGGCTTGAGACAACAACTCCATGTCTAAAGCGTTCCAACCACCAAAGGGAACATATATGGGTATGAAATTCAGTGGTCGACCCCTTGATGGGCATTATTTAGCTGAAAATTCATGTCCACCACTTTTGAGGTGGGTCCAGTAAAATGCAAAGCCCCTCAAAAAAGGCAAGGTAGATCTCCAGAATTCACCCCGCTCCCGGTGGCGACTTTGAGAAGATGGTCATGTGAGCCACAGTCGAAGTCAGGTGTCCTCTGGGAAAATCCCCTCATCTTTGTTTTGGTTCATGTCAAGGTTGCGCTGGAAGCACCCCGTACTCATCTAATCCGGGTCAACATGACCCAACATCTTTGGGTAGCGACCCCCCTACGGGCCGAGACTTCCATTCACGAAACGAAACACTCAGATCCGGTGGATTCCGGCAAACCCCGCTGAATTTCGCTCAGCTCCTTTGGCTGCAACGAGGGGCTAGACCTGGGAGTCTCGCGCGATCTTAACCCTTTGAGATGTGTCAAAATTTGGATTTGGACCGTTTTCCCTGTAAACTCACCTGTAAAGGCTACACACACAAAAACAAAAACAAAAACAACAACACGCACACACAAACACACACACACACAGAGAGAACACAACACAACACAACACAGCACAACACAACACAGCACAGCACAGCACAGCACAGCACAGCAAAGCAAAGCACAGCACAGCACAGCACAACACAACACAACACAACACAACACACACACACACACCCACCCACCCACCCACGCACGCACGCAAGCACGCACGCACGCACGCACGCACGCACGCACGCACGCACGCACCACATGCCGCAAAATACATTTTACCAATACATGATTAGAAGCAACCTGAAACTGGCGCCATCTGCGTGCAACAAACTCTGCCTCAAAAGGACCGCCCATGTCTTAAACTGTTCAAACAGGCAAGTAATGACACTCAACAAGCCTCCAAAAAATAAAAGCCCGAAGGACAATGCGACCGAGGGACCTGGAAAACGGGCAGTGCTCTATTAGTTTCGTTCCCGGAAGAACAGCGGCCGTCTTTCAGACTTTTGCACCTGGGCTTCTTGCTGAAAAGTTTGGATTCAAAGGTCGAGGATTTTTCTCTATATATATATATATCACATCCAGATGTTGAATCCCTTGTATGAAGCCCTGGTTGAGTTGACTGGGCGTTCAACTCGTGAGCTACCGGCGGCGGGTCCGCTGGCTTCATGGCCGACATTTGTTCAATGGATGCTTGAGTTCACAGGTCTCCAAGTAAAGAGCATACTGTTGACCCAGGATTCATACACCCGTCCCATTATTAGGGGGCGTTCCCTCCAAAAGTGGTCTGAATCCGCACTACAAGGGGACACCCCCCAATTAATCAGGGGTTTATTCATCCGGGGTTAGCATTACTCAATACGCGACAACTCCGCTGACTCCCTCGCACCCTGCCGAAAGTTCCCCCCAAGACTAGGGGCTCAACACGCCTTACTCAAACTTAGATGCTACAACAACTGTGGGTTCCCCCAACGAGATTCCTCTAAAACAGGTGGTGTTTCAGAGTATCAATGCCTTCCTGGTAAGGAAAAAAAGAGCCATTGCCGCCTTAGTTTACGCTGGCTGGCCTCCCCGTGTACTATACAACTGCACGGGGTTTGCTTTTGAAATCCTTCTTCCAACCAACCAAAGCAATCAAACAAAGAAACCAAACCAACTAGCCAAACCAACCAAACCAACCAAACCGATCAACCAAACCGACCGATCGACCGACCAACCAACCACTCATGGGGGTCGTACGAGTAGGAAACATTAAATCACTTTCCGCATGATTGCGGGGGATTCATTGCACCCTGAGAAAAGGTAAGCGTGCCCTTCCGGTTTCCCATTAAACACAAGCCGAAAGTGACACACCCCACATTCATTCCCAGACCAAACGATTTCGGCCCTTTCGGTTTTATCGCTCACCCCCCAACAAATGGCGGGGAAGAGACGCACGTCAAATTGGCAACCAAATGGTGATCTTCAGAATCACCTAAATAAGAAATGTAGCTAAACCTGACTAGGCACTCTGATTTTGACAAAACAAGCAAACATAGTCCAAATCCTCTTCTTGCTGGAGGTCAGTTGGGTTGACCCATACCGAGCGACGCCCTAGATTTTGCGCTACTGTGGATGGACGAATTCCATTTCGCACCACCTAAGAAACCCAACGGAATGATGATTCCCCAACAAGCAATGGTTTACCTGGTTTCAAACAGGTGCAGGATTTGCTCCATCTACAGTAGGAAGCAGAATGAATGTTGCCTCATCAATCGAAGAACTTATTCCAACTCAAGGCACCGTCACGGCTCCGCAAACCAAGCCAAAGGGATGTAAATGGAATCACTGGATAGACCGAGAAGGGGAGACCAAAGTGAGATCCAGTCGATTTGCTTTGGGCACGTGTAGGTTCCTCTGTGGTAAAACTAAGGCAAGCTGGGGTGTTGAACGTAGAGCAAACGTGGTAACCTCTGTTGCCGCTCAAGCAAAGGGATTGGACTGGGTACACGCGCGATAAAGGCACTATGAGTCACTATGAGGGGTACATACCCAAAAACAACACGCCTTCGGTATGTGGCTGATTCGCGGTTGGTATGTCCATTGGGCCATGCAATGTCGCCCCCGGATTTGTCAACCTAGTGGACGACAGGGTTGGCGTTTCTCCCTTACGAAGGGACAAGCTTTGTCCCTTTCCTCTAAATGACAACTCGAGAAATGTTACTTATGTGCCAGAACTCCTGGGTTCTTAAGTACATGTTTTTGCATCATGAAATTATCATCGATGTCATCTCCAGTGGAACAATTTCAGATTCCGACTTTGATACAGTGCGATAATCGCTGGAGGCAATGCCCTCATTTGCGTCATCCCGGCTACCCACCTTAACATGAGGGGGAAATATGCCAACTTTCAGCCTAACCCCTTCCCAACACCCCCCATTGTCAAGTCTCCTCGGTGAGAAAGAAAACACAACACAAACGACAAACAACAAAAACAAGCCGCGGTTTCATCATGCCCAACACAAAAAAAGACACAAAACAAAAAAAACGGTTTGAGAACCCCAGAGAAACAGTCTCAATAACTCCTAACCGGAGAAACAGTCGCAATCGATGAGCCCAGTCTTAGGATCCGAGCTGGCGCCCAACTTTTGCTCGGAGAAGCATCACTCCAGGAGCTCGGAGCATCGCGCCTACGGCGATTTCACCACGTGCTTTGTGATGTGGCTTGTGGCTGGCTGCCACTAGAGGCGCTGAGGTGATCCAATGGAGTCAGACCACTGGGGCAGGGCTGCCAGGCAATGAATATGACCAGAACTCAAAGAGGAACAGTAGAAACTCATACTGTGGATGGACGAAATCCTGCACCGCCTAAGAAACTCTGGAATGATGATTCTCTGGTAAATACCAACAAACAATAGTTTCCCATGTGTTCAAAAGTGGTGCAGGATTTCGTTTATTCATAGTAGGGAGGTAGATCGATCTTAAAAGAGTGCTCTTCAAAAAAAACACACGCACACACACAAACAGAAATAAATGGCACCTTGGCGTGGCCTTGGCTCTGCCACTAGTGCTCACCGTGAGCAGTGCAAAGGTGCAGAGGGGACGGTGTTGGGCAATTCTAGCACCACTTTGGACCGCTTTAGCCATAGTTCGTGCGACTGTTCTAAATGAGGCAGTTGTTGGGCTATCTTAGGACCAGTTTATGAATAGTTCCTTGGAATGTATAAATAGTTCTGAAAGATGTTGACAGGCTCACAAACAAAAGGCCAACGCCCGTCCCAAGGCATTGTACGTAGTAAGTGGCTAGCAACAACGCTGTAAACCCACTTAGGAGACACTTACAATCATGGTAAGTGGGTTACAACCGTGGTTGCTAACCTCTTACGAAGTACAATACCCTTCAAGAAGGGCAACTAGCCGGGCAAAAACAACACAGGGGGGGGGGCTCGAAAACTTTGACGCAGGGGCGCGCAGACCAACAGCCTAAGCGCGGTTACGCGATTCACTTCGTATACCCTGTTCCACCGGGCTGTGGTGGTGGTCAAAGGGTACCTCGTGCGGGGTAGGAACTCGCAGCTAACCCATGGGCTTGCAGAAGCCAGGGCAAATCAACCATCCCTGGGTTTGATCTACTTACTTCTCCGGACCATGCTGCACAAAGAAATCTCCCCGACATGAGACACACTCGCCACTGGGAAAGGAAACCACAACTGATTTGTATGGTCCTGCAAATTCATTCGAAGTTCACCAGATGCACGCCTTAACGGTTGTCAAACCAAATCCCCAGCTTCATGATCATGTTTTGCCAACCCCAATGCGCAACGTGTTGACCCAGGCTCTCGTGTTGAAACCTGAGCCCTCTCCGTTATCTTCAGGGATCCTTCCCTTGCCAAAAAAGCCGTGCCAAATCTCTAGGAGTTCATGACTGGTTCTAGGGGTAACTTCCCCATTCTTTCCAGGGATCCTTCTTTCCAGAGAACCACCCAAAACCCTGGGGAAATGGCGCGGCTAGTTTTCGAAAAGAACGATGGCTGAAAAGAATGGGGAATCCACCCCTTGAATGGTTGGTTACTACAGAGAATGATGCGCGAAGAGAATGGGGAATCAGCCATTAGACAACCAGCCAATAGAAAATTTCTGCAGGAAATTCGCCAAGACCCACAAAAACCGAGGACTTTCAGTAGAGCTGAAGCAATGGACACGCTCGTTGTCCAAAGGACCCAAAAAAAGTTAACATGTTGATGCCACTTACAAAATGAAGCAAGTCACTAGGCTGGAATTAGGACCCCAGCAAAAAATATCTGTTTTGCCTGGTGAGTAGAAAATAAAGGGACCCCCAAAAAAGATCACAAAAGCAAAAAGGGGAGCTAATTCTGGGGAAGGTCAGGGAAACCAAAAGGTCAAAAGGTCGCTTCACTTTGGGCAAGAGAGCACGTTGAACCCTGAGCCTTTTTGTCATCCCCCGCTGCCTCACGAGGCGCCCGTGTGACTCTGAGCACCCAAAGTGCCAGAGCCAGGAAGGCGCAAGCAACCAGGCTCAGGCTGAAGGTGTTGGAGCCTCCAAGGAGAGAGAGGATGCAGATATGAGTAAAAAGCCGGGTATAGGTAAATGAGGCCGCAGAAGAACATTTGGTGATTGGGGAGAAGAACTTCCTACCCCCTAGACAATTCAACATGGACGCTCACGAACGGACCCCGAAAGAAAACAAAACTTGGACTTCCATTTGCAGAGGCCTTCTGGAGTGTGTTCCATGTTTGGCGTTGGCCAGTTGGTCAGCTGGGTAGCTGCTTGATTGGTCGGTTGGTTGGCTCGGGTTGTCTCGCAATTATTCCCTCCCATTGCTTCGCAAACAATGGAGAATCTCCAGTCGGAGGTGATCCCCCTCGTCAGAAACCAAGACCGGTGAGACCTCCAATCAATTGGGAACACAACGCTACCATGCTTTTGGCATTTGACTTCAAAGGGAAGCATCTGTCAAACAACAAAGGGCACCACTGGAGCTCTGGAATGTATCGCGCGCACATCAGAATCGCATCCAAGTGTCTCAATATGTATATATCTATACACGTCGATATGTACAATATACACGCAAAGCTTCAACTTCTATCATACGGTAGTATTCCAGATGTGGCCAACAATTGCGTGTGGGAATGAGGCAATTAGGTTTCTCACAAGTTCTGTGACCCGGGAACCTCTTCTTCCCTGAGAGGAATCCGTCAGAAGGCATTCCAATCACAATGGTTGCTATTCCGAAATTCAAGCCTTGGGGCTCAAGGGCATATCCCTTTCTTGTCCAAACTCGCAATGGCATGCTCTCATGTCACTCAAGGGCTTGCCTCTGGGAACTGGAGAACCATCTTACAGCTGGCTGCATCTAAGGGCTAATTCGGTCTCCATTCTTCTTCAACCATCCTTCTTTTCAAAGCTCTCAACTGGGTTGCTGTTCCTCCCCTGAGCAAAATGCTTAAAGGAAAACCCATCTGTGAAATGAAAGAGTGGGGCGCCAGCCTGCCAAGGTCGCTGGATTTCCCAAGGATCAACTGCCTAGAGTCTGCATGACCCTTTAAAAATGGGGTCATTACCCCAAACAATGGGGTCTTGGACCTGTACTTTAAAGGGTCATGGAGACTCCAGGTACTCTCTGGCCTATTAATTTGAGATTCGTCTGCAAATGTTGTCAACCCTACTCACTCCCGCAAATATCCGCAGGGTTGGGTGCAAACCTTCCAGAATCGGCTCTGGAAAAGCAAACCCGAGGGGTACTGCCATTTCTTTGCCCAAAACAAACCACGAGGCTCTCGATAGATCTTTATTTGTTTGTTGGTTGGTTGCTTGGTTGCCTGCTTGGTCGATTGGTCGATTGGTCGATTGGTCGGTCGGTCGGTCGGTCGGTCAGTCGGTCGGTGCGTCGGTCGGTCGGTCGGTCGGTCGGTTGGTCGATTGGTTGGTTAGTCTGTTGCTTGGTTGCCTGATTGGTTGGTCGGTCGGTCGATTGGTTGATTGGTTGGATCCTCCGTCCCCTGCCTCGGTCGAGGTCCACGTGCTGCAGGAGGAACTTGGCCGCTAAGTCGCAGCCGGCTTGTTGGTGCTCGCAGCACCACCTTGGGAGGCTTCCTCTCATGTGGGTGATGCGAAATCCGAGACCGCACCACGAAATGAGATACCATGGTTGAAACCATGCCGTTTGTTGGTAGTTACACGGGAATCATTCGTCCAGGGTTTCTTAAGTAGTGCCGGAATTCGTCCATCCACAGTAGTGTGCCTTGTTTTAAGGGTAGCCAGATGAAATTATTTGACAACCAAAGACTGTGGTCACCCAAGAAGAGTTCTTGACTGTGGTCACCCAAGAGGAGTTCTTAACTCATGATGTTGTGTAGATTCCTTTCAACAAAAAAACAGGAAATTTGATTCTGGCTGCGGCGGTGCTGGGCATAGGAGCTGAACGGAAGGACCCTCATGAAATTTCCTACGCCGGGCCCCAGAAGGATACGTCAAGGTGTGTCCAAATAGGCCCCCCCCGCCAAAAAATAATAATAATGCAAAATGCGGTGTTCCTTGGCAGAAACCATACTATGGGGCCATTCATTTTCCGTTTGACAAAAGGGAACATGTATGGGGCTTTCCGTTTGACAAAAGGAACATGGGCCTGGGGCTGATTCTTGACAGGGCACTCCCTTCATACATTGCACATGGAGCTGCTGGTTGACAAACGTCTAAGCACCTGGAGCCCATGCCAACATCCGAGTGAGCGCTTGGCACATTGCCCAATGGAGCTTCGTTGATGCCTCGTTACTATACGTGTGTTCCTCCAGATTTGAGAGGTTAGAATAAGGGTACCAACTCTTGTTTTGTCTGTAGTCTATTTTGGTAGGGGAACCCTCCCCCAAAACAGGGTAACAGGGCACTACTGGGAGACCTAGTATACTTTTGGCGGGACTTGTCGAGTTGATGCCTCTAAACTCCCAACATCTGCCTGTCCGAGTCAACCGAGAAGTTTGTATCACAGGGAAACTCCACAACCCCAACAGCTGACTAAGCCGCAGATCCGACTTGACTATGCAGAGGCATTCACCCTGAATGCCTGACATCTAACTAGCTTGGGATATTTCTATGAGGCCTGTACTGACCCAGGCCCTGCACGCAGAAAAAATGACTAACCTCCACATCAGTCAACAGCACCTCCGCCCCGGGTCTACGAGACACTCCAGGAACCTCTGCCAAGATCTCCAGCGCCAGATTTTGTTTTGCTGAGTCTAGGGAACCCGGCTGGGGTGTCTTTGATTCTACCCACTCCGTTTGTTCGTCGCAGTGTCGGGTTCTCTTGGGGATGCCATCCCTACCGTAGATGGACGAAATATTCAAACCCTCGAGTATGAATCTATCCCCCTCACCCCCAAATCTCAATGTTGGAATGTTTTGCAGGGACAAGGGCCCACTGGACAAAACAAATCAAAGCCCACTAACATGAAGTCAGCGCTGACATTTCAACATTGAGATCTGTGAAGCGGGGTGTACATAAAGAAACCTTATGTCACGGGTTTGAATATTCCGTCCATCTACTGTAGCCTCACCCCTCCCCCGCCTGGCCCCGGTCTCAGTCTCCCAACTCCCGGGATCCAAGCTCCCCGGCTGCGAGCGCGCGCGATCCCAGGCCGTGCGGTTCGGAGACCCGCAGTCGAAGGGACACCCGAAGCCGTAGTGGGCGCCTCGGAGACCGCTCGGGCGCGGAAGGCGCTTCCGTTTCGGCTCTCATGGCTCTCGCCGAGGTTTCTCCTTGAGGCTTCCCCTGGTGGATTGAAAGCAGCGGGAACGGGCGGAACGCAAACCAACATGGGGCGTCATCCGCCCTACAGTCCCAGACCCCCCGTAGCCATGGGAAGCAAAGGCAAATCATCGGCGCTCTTGTTCGAAGGTAGTTGACTTCAAAGGGGCCCAGCCCCTCCCCAAAAAGTTGAACATGTCGAACCAAGGAAGTCACCTGGAGCTCTGAGTCGTCGAGTCTAAGAGTTGGTGAGCACCCGTGCCAGGTTGGCCAACTCAGGCAGCCCGAGTTCTACATTTGTCGGGGAAAAAGAGGGCCAAACACTTCAGTATTTCCGGCAGGAAATCGCGTGCGACATAGACAAAAAGAGGTGAGGTGGCCCCCTTGTCGAAAGGGCGACAGCTTGGAGGGAACTATTCATTCCCTTTGTGGCAATGTCTAGGTCCTCCAGATTTGAGATGTTAGAATAAGGGTACATGATGTTTTTCTGTAGTCTATTTTAGTAGGGGAACCCTGCCCAAAAAAAAGGTAAAAGGGCACTACTGGGGGATCTAGATGTGGGAAGTTTGGTGGAACATAGATGGCTCTGGCTTCAATGTGGTTCTCCAAACGTAATCTGGGGAACACTCAATGAACCACCTCAGTTGTCCAAAGGACCCAAAATACAAGATTCACCCTTTGGCGCCATTATATGCTCAAACATAGGTGGTCTTTTGGAAAAATAATGGCCCTGGTAAATGGAATAAACCCCATCTAGACCAGGGCCCTCTATTTTTAAGGAAACCAACCAACAAGGACACCTATGTGCTGAAAATGACCAAATCAGGGAAACCCAAAGATTAACATGTCGGCTTTAGGCAAGTGAGCCACCGGCATTGCTTGGGATTCGTTCTGAGCTCGGTACAGCACCAGCGTGACTTCTTTGCAGACCACCCCTCCTGGCCAGCATCAGTGAAGTCATATGCCATGCGTTTTTGTTGAAAGCTACACCGAAAAGGACGCTTTCAACAACGAAATTCCAAAAAACTGTACCCTCCAACAAAACACTTCCCCCTCCGCCCACCACAACCTGGGCGTGCGCCCTTGGTGGGGTACCCATTGCTGGGTTGGAGGGAAGCCAAAGGAAAACCGTAGCCCACATTTGGGGCTCTGAGACACCAAGCCATAGAGTTTCGACGTAGTCTGGACATAGCCAGCGAGTGGTTGATGGGTAGCGGTGACATGACAAATAGTCATCGGAGGGACCAAATATTACCCGTGCATTCGAAAATGTGGGTAAGCATGGGCCACAAAGAGTAACTACACTATTGTTTTGCCAATAGGCTAACTGATGGCTAAATATAAGAGACAAATTGAGACACACCTGGCAATGGTTACCACCTACAAGTCCACTACATGGGTTATTGCCAGGGTCAATGGGAATATAACCAGGGTTGCCAACCACTGTAACAGTTTACTTTGTAGCCAAAAGACGCCACTCGGCGCCCTATCGCAGCCTTCCAAAACAGTCCCATAGACTTGGCTGGGCTACGCACTCAATTTGTGCCCGGTCCCTTGTGCCTCCTTTTGGGGCACAGATTGGTATGGACTCCAAGAAAACTTGGAATCACTTTTGGCAACTGGATGTTTAGCAAGGTTCAAGGAAAACCCTGGAACTGAGGGGCGAACTTGCCCTCTGCCTCCCAATGTGGTGCAAGTGTGACCCCTCCCACTTCTTTTTGTTTCTGGCCTAAAAGCTCCCAGGCCCATTCGGAATCAGCCAAAGATATGTACATAGCACAGATCAGAATCTGTCTCTAAAATATACATTTGCACCCCTGGCCGGGCATATTTTTAAGTCACCACTCTAAGGAAACCATCTCCCCTCAGCCGCACGATGTTCTGGGGCCCGGTGTCGGTTTCGGGCTCGAGGGTCCATGGGGAGTTCCTCAACCTGAGCCCGGGTTGGTCAACCCATTCCTCTTGGCTTCCCTTTAAAGGAGAGCTGCAGTTGTTTCAAATCAGTTACGCTTAAACTGTTTCCCTTGCACAACCTTCTTTCGGCTTTCCTTCAAAGGCCGAAGTGCCTTTCGAGTCGGCGATTCGATCGAGTCGGCGACGAATGGATCTGTCCTTCCAGTGCTCAACTCCCGTCCTGAGCCGTGCTTTGTATAAAGAACTTTGACAAATATGAGGCAACAACTCCCTGTTCATACCGGTTTGTTCCCTGATTGACAACCCACTCTGTAACGGGTTTATACACCTTTTGAAGAGGGGTGTTGTAGCTGGTTTATCTGGATGAATAGCAATGATAGCGAGACTAGCAATAATAGCTAAATATAAAAGGTTATCAGTACAAACATATGCATAAATCAAGCACCATTGCATATTTGCAATAGTCCACCATCTGCAAATAAAACATATGCCCATGAGGAAACTTCCACCGTGAGTGAGAAGCAAGAGCACAAATGGATAATAAGGTCATGAGAGAACATATGCAAACATATCTTCGTCATGTTGCATCTAGTGGCTGCCATGCATATCTATCTCGGATGCGGCTCTCCGTCCGACCGGTTACTTGAGCACGAATTCCCACGGGATGTGCCTGTGAGACGTGGGTTGAATCTTCCCTTGTGGGGAAGTTGGCCACCTCTACGTCCTCCTCAAACAACCAGGATACTATGAATCAGATGTCTAGGGGTTTAATCCCCATTCTTTTCAACCATCGTTATTTTCTGAAAACCAGCTGTTTCCCCATGTTGTTTGTTGTTGTCTAGAAAGAAGGATCCCTGGAAAGAATGGGGAAGCTACCCTTCGAATATTAGTTGCTCCAATGAGCCATGGTCAAAATGATGTGTGGTTCTTCAAGAGATGGGGAAATGAGCGAGTCCCTGCCTGGAACCTTCTAGAAACTTCCTTCATGTCCCACATCCCAATAGGATCACATAGATTACCCCCGTGAATCCGACCAAACCTCATGTTGGGTGGTTGCCATTTTCGGATTTGAGCCGGGTTGGTTTCACACACCAAGTGGAAACCCAGTTCTTTGGGCTCCCTAAGTCTAGGCTGGAATTAGGACCCCAGCAAACATATATATCTTTGTTGCCTGGTTAGTGGAAAACAAAGGGACCCAAAATTTCAAAAAAAAAAGAAGAAAAAAAAAACGGAAAAAAGGAAAACGGGGAGCTAATTCTGGGGAATATTCTTGAGACAAACTTATATCAATTGCAACCGGCATGTCTCCCTGAGTCCCGAAAACAACCTTCCTGGAGCTCCAGCTCATTCGTCAAAACCCTGCCTGAAGGATTCGTAAGACAAGACCCGTCACTAAAACTTGGTTGCTGTAGATCCCCTAGCAAAAAGTTAAACTTTTGCTGGTTAAAAGGAAATATGAGGGGAATCCAAAAAGTTAAAGTCTAAAGATCCAAGCCAATAGCCGTAGAGAACATTAGAGGACTCCAACCTTTCCCCACGTCCTTCAGGGAACACCTGCATTCTTTGTTGCTTTCACGTAGCTGTATTTTGGCAACTGGAGCGTCCTCTCCAGTGCGGAGGGCCCCTATCCCCAGCTGGGTTTGTCTGGAACTTAGCAACTTGCTGATGAAGAAACCTGGCAGCAAGTTTCCAGAGTGGAAAGTACGCAGGGGCAACGAGACCAAAAAAACACGAAAAAGGGACCTGGCAGCAAATAGCTTCAAGTTTGGCAGCACAGGCGAGCATCCCTTGTTGACAGTCCAGAAACTGGGAAAGCGAGATAACCTAGCTCGACTCTTTGTTTTCCAAGTGGCTTGCAGTCAAAGGACGGGCTCGAACTCTCCTCAGCGTCACGTGAGCGAGTTGGCCAATGCTTGGCCAACCATTGATCTTCCATTTCGGATTCTCAGTTCACCTTGCCCATATTCCCCAAAAACACAAAGTTAAGAAGCCCCTTTAAGAGGAAAGTGGTCTTCCAGATTCCAGGGACCTTTGATCATGTTCCATGTTTGTCTTTGGGAGGGTAAACATGTTGGTTCTCCTTACCTGCTTTGGTTTGGGGGGCCTTGGACGTTACGGGGTACTGTTTGCATTTGGCTTCAAAAGCGATTCCCAAACGACCAATCCAAAGTACCGACTCAGGGGTACCTGATTGGTGGTTTGTTGATCCTGATTTTCTTTGGGTACGGCATAGATCATGGATCCTTCTAAACTCAAAAGTTCAAAAAGTATGCTGGGTTGCCCCAAAAAGGGGGGCACCCCAAAACAGGCTTCTTTCGAAGGCATGATGCCAATGTGCAAAGGTGTAGCCCTACCACGACTATCTGCTCCCTTTTGAACATCACCCATCAAGGCAACTCACCTGTGGACCGAACGGTTGACGCTTAACCACCGAAAAATATTATACACAACCTAGTGAAAAACACATTCAGTTCAGAGTATCCCAAAACCCCTTTTGTGTCCGATGTGTTGGCACCTGGCATTGGTCTCGTCCCTTTCGTCCCTCCAGGCTTTCAGGGGGATTGATAAATAGCGGACCTTATGAAAAATAATTTACAAGTTTAGCAGAATGAGGGAATATGACCTCTTAGAACATACCTACAATTTAGCATACCTACAACTTTTCCACAATGAGAAGACCTGTTCTTAGAGGAATCGTCTTAGCAGAGACGTGTGTGTGTGTGTGTGAACGTAGGGACCCCCCCAAACAAAGAGAAAAGACAACAGCCCCCAAAAAGGGCAGCCTCAAACAAACATCATTGTGATTCAAGGGCGTTCTACTTAGTGATTAGTAACTATGGTTGTGACCCACTTAGCTCGATTATAAGTCTCCGTTCGGTGGGTTGTAACCATAGTTACGAACCACTTCCTGAGTGCCCTTTCCCTATGACCCCTATAAACCATCCTTCCTTTCAAGGGCACCCTGGGTTCATTCCATTTCTCATTTCTCATAGCATGATAACCACCCTCACCCACCTGGCAACTGACAGGGGGTACCTTTAAAAGGCGACTGACCTTCCGGATACCCTCCCACGTTCGTGGGAGGAAGGGTACCCGGATAGGGCTCGGTTTGTCCGCAAGCCACGTGGTTCGCAGCGCTGTGCACGGCGTGGGCTGATTGCGGGCTCGGCCGCCTGGCCTGAGATGGAGATCTTTGTTAAACTGTCGGTTTTTTTAGGGGACCGGTTTAGGGTTTAGAGTTTAGGGTTTTAGGGTTTGGGGTTTGGGGTTTAGGGTTTGGGGTTCAGGGTCTAGGGTTTTGGCTGTCTTTGTTTGGCTGTCTGTTTGGCTGCCCCCCAAAAGTAGCGGCTGGTGATTTTCGTGTTAGTTTCGCGCACAAAAAAACACCCCAAGAAAGACGGACCCATTTAAGGTACCCTTTGGGGTTGGCTTCAAGGGGAACCCACGGACACAGGGTCTCTCAGATACATGAGAGAGACAAGAGCAACCCCGAAAAAAGGAGGTTCCCATTTGGTCCCTTTAAACCAACCCCAGAGAAATATGGAGCCTTGGCAACATGTTTCTACCACAAAAAGTAACAATAATGCAGCAAAAAGTAGTGAAGAGTTTTGGTCTGGGTCCACCCCAAAAACGGTAAGATGAAACCAACCGTTCCTCTGGCACGTGTTCCTGCACCCAAAAAGTAGGCGCAAGCATTTGGGGACGTAAGGGTTACAGGGGTCCTTGGGTCCCTGGATTTCCCCTCAAAAGTTGATCAACTTATGGGTGATCTCCACTCAAACTTCTGCTTTTGTGCAGGTCCAAACATGGGGAACCGGACAAACCTCTGTTTTGTCGGTGAACGCCTTGCAAGTAAATCAACAAGCCATGGGAATTGTTTTCGTGCTTCTCTAATTGCAATACTGTGGATGGACAAAATCCTGCACCACTTTGAAACCATTGGTTGTTGGTATTCGCAGGGGGATCGAATCATTCTGTTGGGGTTTCTGAACAGTGAATTCGTCCATCCACAGTGCAGAGGTGTCCATCAACAAGGCACACACGCCTCTTGGAAGACTTCCATTTGGCTTAAGCCCCCCTGGAAAGACTTTTTTTGGCGCCCAAAGGGTCCAAGTACCTTCTGAGGAGGTACTTAGGCGTGCGCACCTACAACCTGCTTCGCCTGCCGGTATCGGCTCGGCACGGCCTCCAACTTCGTGGTGCACATGTCCGAGGCAACGTCTACGACCCCCTGTACGGCAGCTTCGTGGTCACCATGTACTTCACCGTGCCGCCGAACGGAGTTGCGAAGCTGCACTTCGGGGCGCACTTCCTGCCCAACCAGACGGCAGGAACGGTGGACGTCTACGGCCTCCAGATCCTGGACGCAACCCTGGAGGCCGGCAAGACGACGGAGGTCGAGGCGGACACGACGGCCTCAGCCCTGCTGCTGAAGCACGGAACTCTCGACGGCGGAGCCGACGACGTCACGCTGTGGCCACTCTGGGCGAGGTGCTGCTGGAGCCCACCCTGACCACATTAGGCAACTTCCTGGTGCGCTCCAACAGCCAAAGCTCCGTGGCCTCGGCCTCACGGTGGGAGGCTTCGAAGTTCCCGGCGTTGGCCGTGTTGTTGATGGTGAGAGTGCTCCCTTTTTACCCCCCAAAATCCCTTCCTCATAAAGTACTTGGACACTCTGGGGTGGTGATAAATTCCCTTTTGAACCAACCGGGGCAGAACAACATCTTCTTAAGGCAAAGCGAGATGGGTTGCTTGCCCCCAGCCAGCCTCAGGTTGCAGCAGCGCATCGAGCCAGGGCCGGTCTTTCGGGCAGCCCACCTTCACGTGATCGCAACCTCACATGCCGAGTCGTGGGATGCACTGTGCATTTGTTTGAGGATGATTCTCTTTTGTGTGTGTGTGTTTTTTGTTTTTTTTTTGGGGGGGGGCATTTGTTTGAGGTTGATTAGTCCTGTTTTCTTGCTTTTTGTTTTGGGGGGGGCAAGGAAACCCAAAAGGGACACCACCATGCTTGGGGGTCCCTGTCTTTAGACCTAGGTGAATTATAATGTAAGGGACATTCGACACAATCATAATGGGATTAGTGGGGGCATTTTAAATCAAAGTAAGTCATCAGCATACTGCGGATGGGCGAAATCCACGCCTGACACGATGAATGCAGCCGCCCTGTAAGTGGGGCAACCCACCCATCAACTGCAATGTGTTTGTTTTGTTTTTCCCATCTACAGAATGCTTGGTTCTACGGGGGGGGGGGGGGGGAAGAAGCCTGCTAGCTGGGTTGGAGTTTACCTGATATAGAACCACGGAGCGCCAAAGGGGGACAATTCAAGGCTTAAACAACTAGACTTGATTCGGTTTGCAAAGGAACACAGCGAGCTTGCTCAAACAATAGTGCTCAAATCATGTGTCAACAAGGTTCACGCAATGATAGCCCAATTGTTGGTGGCTAGAACAACGACTTTGTTCTTTTTGAAACAAGACTAGCGGCGTAGGCATATGTCTCAAAACGGTGGTGCAACTCAGGAAATTGCAATAGTAGGCACCCCTAGAATTGGTTGGGTCCTTTGGCTTTGGAAACATTCCCTCAAACAAAGCCACCTTTCAAGAAGCCGAAATGGACCTGTCAAACGGATTTTGTGTGGTAAGGATCTGGAGAGAGAGGACTAGACAAGGCAATCGGCTGAATGTGACTGGCTGAACCTTGCGGATGCCAAGGCAACTGGCTTCGCTCCACATTGCCTCCCGTGGTTTAGGGCTTGTTTAGGGTTGGTTTCCTGTTGGTTTTGGGTTGGTTTAGGACTGGTGTAGGCTGGTTTAGAGAACTCCCCGAGTTCAGTAACAACAACCTTCCAGCAGAAGGGAAAGGCCATCTTTGGGATTTCTCGGGCTTCGGATGACTGATTGGGTCTTGGTTTCAGGATCTCAACCTTGTGAACTAGCGAATTGATCCTCACTGGGCGAGAAAACAAGTCCAAACTTCTTCTTTGCCACTAAACTGGTCTTCTCAACTTAGTCTTCCGAAAAAGGGGGTTTTCCATGTGGTCGGGCGCCGAATTTCTCGGTGTTCGGGACCCGTCCCGCTTCCAATCAGGTCTACAATGAGATTCAAAGAACCTCCCGTTCATATGGAACCCATGGTCACTTTTGAAGAACAGGACCCTCAGTCGGGTTCAATCGAAGTGGATCGTCGCCACCCCCGGGGATGTGCCGCCGGAATCCATTGCCAAGCGGCAGAACCGCTTCTTGTCGGCCGACCAGGCCTGACGCGCAAGCACGCGCGACACATGCGTGCGCGCACGCCCCTGGAAAAGCAGTTCATGGGTTTTGTCCGCGCATAAAGCCACGACAGCACAGAGACAACACGTTTGCTTTCTGTAGTTCAGCCTTGGCATGTCTTGCCCTATTTCATATTCCTGGTGGGGTGCTGCTTGAGGACGACACCTAGTTGGGCCCCTCTTTGGAGATGCGGGTGTGGCATGTTGGAGTGTGCCTTTTTCGGAGGGCTTGCTCAAGAAAAAAAAAGAGAGGGGAGACAAACTTCTTGAAGAGTGGGAAACGAAACTCTTTCTGTGCAGTGTTGCAAACCCATGATGCCATAGGGCCCAAACACAAAAGCGGGAGCCTTGAAGAGAGGCAAGTCGGTGAATTCAATTCGACCAAACCTGTGGGGGCTTCTCAAAAGTCCCGCTTACAAATGGCTTGGTGAAGGGGGGGCGTTCCCATGGAGTTTGGTATCATGGTAAAGGTTTATCTTGGCCTTGCCTTGATGAAACCAGGTTGGAACCGAGCCTGCTAAATCTGTGTACATTTTTGGGGGTACCCTGTTTGGGGTATTTTGGGGTAACCAAAAAGCCCAAAACCTAAGCCACCCCTAGGTCCTCCAGTAGAGAGGTTAGAATAGTAAGGGTACCCTTGTTTCTGTAGTCTATTTTAGTAGGGGAACCCTCCCAACCAAAAAAAAGTTGGGTGAGAAAGCGCACCTAGGGGGACCTAGACTCATTTTCAGGCCGATACAAACCCACCCCTGGCCATCGATCGATGGATGTCGGTCGCTCAAAAACGCCATTTCCCATATCAAACTTCGTGAAGCTGTGGGAATCCTCCTGTATCACTGGTTCCCTGTATCCCTAGCTGGTTTCCCTGAACACCGGCCATCGATCGATGTCGCTCGCTAAACGCCTGGTGCCACTCGTCCACCTTGCTGGCGCAGTCGTAGCGCAGCGGCATGGCGCCGCAGCCCACGTTCTTCACCTGGCGCGGCTCGGCGCCCGGCGCGCGAGCGCCGGGCGAGCGATTGCCGGGCCCCGGAGGGTCCCCTAAGGCTCCCTGGTTTCTTTTTTTGGGACCATACTGTGGAAGTTGCGAAATCCATTTCGCACCACTTTGAAACCATGGTCGAAACCATTTTTTGTTGGGATTTGCAAGGGGAATCATGTTTTTTTTTTTTTTGTGGTGCGAAATGGATTTCAGCCATCCGCAGTATCAGCATCTTTTCTGTTGATTGCTAACAAAGTGTGTTTTTGATGGTCATCCCCAGGTACCCCATACTTGGTTTGGACTGGAGGGTTGGAAAATCAACAACTTCCCGCTTCCTAAAGCCAAATGGGAAGGTACCACTTAACGTCCAATCCGCCGAAGCAAACCAGCAATTCGGGGTCAGGTGACAAAAATGGCAGTTTCAATGAAACCAACCAGGAACTTGCAACTTTGAAGCAAAACAGCGCCCCAGAAGCCCCGTTACTTCCGGTTCGACGATGGTTACACTTGACCAAACGGATCCGACCGAGACCCTGCAAAAAATGATCAGTTATTGAAAATGCTGGTTGAAAGGGACAGTGATGGAAAATGATGGAAAACCAAAAAAGGCAAAAGTCAAAAATTGAAAGCTAAGTCTGGTCATGTATACGGGTAGTACGGTAGAACCTACTAAAAGTTGCACGTGGGGAATTCAACCCTAACTTGCGGTGCCTCAACGATCAAAGCGGCTGCTACGTTCCCACCTTCACTCCGGGTTTTGTTTGCAACTCGGTAAAAAGGGCTGCTGCGGTTTCATTCCGGCCCCGCAAGGGATGTTTCGACAGTGGAACTTCGAACATGGGAAGCAGCAGTTGGCTGGAGCAAAAGCAGTTGACCCAACTCAGAAAGCCACCAAACAGAAATGAAGCCTAAGGAGGAATGAGTCAAAAACAACACCTAGTAATTCAATCAGAAAATGGTCTACCCAGATCAGAACCAGGCTGCACCCATTTATGGTTGGGACTATCACTTCCCCTTCATCTACCCGCTTGCTCCTTTGTCATTACTGCGGCTCAAATGATGCTAAACTGGTCTAGAAAAATAGAACTATCCGAACTCTTGGTATTTCCTGTAAAACTAAACAGGCTGGGCTAAAGACTCGGTTGCTGCCTTGCTCAGCACGGAACCCGTTTGAAACGTCCCACCGGCTGAAGGTTTCCCTGGTGGTCCAATTCCACAAAAAAGACGAGCCGCCCATTGGTTGCTTGGTTCGTCGTTGGACTCCAGATCAACATGCAACCCCCATGCTTTGGGCCACAGTCTCTTTGAATCTTGGGGTCTTCTATCCATTTCTACTATCAGTGGGAAGCGAGCCCTTCCCCAAACCCTCGGCTAAACAGAGCCTGACTCTTGACCAACCCTCAAAGGCGAACCCAACTGAGGCTGTGTAAACGATCGAAACATGTTGAATCCGTTGGCCCGACCCTGGTACCCCCAACATCCCTCTGACCTAAGGCCAACAGTTCCAGAGAAAAAGAACAAACCAGACGTGAACCCAGTTGATTCATAAAACCTGGGCGATGAATATGGAGGTGTGGCTTCCCCCAACCTAAATGAGCAACCCAACAAATATGCCCAAAAACAGCAGCAGTAGTTAGCTGCCACTAGAAACGGAGCGCACATTATGGCTTGGTTCTCAGATGCCTGAACCTGGAAATGAATGGCTAGCCAGTTGGGACCTTGGCTGATTCATTGAAACAGAAATGCGAAGGTTGAAAGCTCGGCTTTTGGACAACTGAAGGTCTCTGCCAAGTGACAGAGTGGTTCACAGCGGCGGAGGTTGCCTAGGTCCTCCAGTAGAGAGGTTAGAATAAGGGTACAAACTGTTTCCTACAGTCTATTTTAGTAGGGTTGAACCCTCCCAACCAAAAAAGAAACGGTAAAAGTTGGCACCTAGCTGGGGGACCTAGTTGCTGGTGGGGATACTATCTCGGCTTTTCGGGCCTGTTACCTCTAGGGGTACCTTCCCCATTCTTTCTAGGGATCATTCTTTCTAGAAAACCTCCGGAAACCCAGCAAAAGCGTATCCGGTGTTTGGACAGAACGATGGTTGAACAGACTCTAGAGTACCCCGTTTTTTGGCGGCTTTGGAGTGCCTCCACCCCCGCCTTCCCGTGCGCGCCTCGCAGCACCAGCGGCTATGCTCCTTTGACCAGGCCTCGATTCGGCCGAGTCGACCCACAAGTTACTCACTTGGGTGTGTCTCCAAAAGTTAGGGAACCCCAAAAATGCTAGGTCTCCCTTTAAACCTCCCAAATACAGGGTCCCCGCAAAAAATGTAGCATATACCGACTGGCAGCTAGGATAGGGCAACTTGTCGTGAAAGCAAAATCCAAAGAAGGCTTCTTGATGTGAATGCCTTCAATGGCCCAACTACGCTTGCAACCAAAGGACCACTGAATCCTATATGCGGGTCCTCCTCCGGAAACAAGTAGGTGGAAACCGTGGACACTCCTTTGGCACAACCCTAGCAAAGCACTCTTAAAACGGCGAAACGAAGCCGCCGAGAAAGTGGAAGCTCCCACCCCACCCAGAGGTTCGCTTTCGAACCCCCTCGACATGTTGAATAGCTTGGAGTGCGTGGCTTGGACCGAGCACAGCTGTCATGTGATCTATGAGCAGACCTCAGTTGTTATTTTCCTGGGGATGTCTATGGCTGGAGGAAGGAGAAGTACTGTGGATGGTTGAACTCGAAATCCATGCAACGCACCACTTTGAAACTGTGGTTGAAACCGGTTAACGTTTGTTGGTATTTGCAGGGAAATCGAATGAATCATTCCGATGGGTTTCTTGGGTGGTTGCGTTGGATTTCGCCACCATCCACATGTCACATAGTGATTCACTTCTTCAGCGCCATGAACTTTCCATGGCTCCCCATACCTGGAGTCTCCTTCCGAGCCTTTAAAAATAGGTCCATGACCCCATTCTTTAGGGTAATGACCAACCATTTTTAAAGGGTCAGAAGGAGACTCCAGGTAGGCCTTTTCATGGGACACACACGCACGCACCCCTCAAGCGGGATGGCCTTTGCGGACCGGATCCGCAGCTTCTCCCCGAAACGATCACACAGGCCAATGAGGCGAATCGGCCTCAACCCATTCTCACCAGGGGAAAAGTTGAGCTGGATTTTCTCCCGCCATTTTTTCTTACCCAGCTTTTGTGGGTATTGCAATTTTATGAGCTTTGAGCTGCCCTCCCGCATTTTCTTACCCACCTTGTGGGTATTGCAATTTTATGACCGACACAAAGAGCTTGCGTCGTCCCTTCTGACCTTCTTCTGCGGGTGTTTGGCGGGGAAAGACAACGAGTCCACGGAATCCGAACCGAGTCCACGGAATCCGAACCTTGGATCCCGGCCGAAAGTCCCACCATTCAAATCGGGGAAGAAGCCAGAACTGCTGATTTCGGTGGTGTTATAGGAATCTGACCCCCAGAAAAGTCGTTTCCTTTCTGGGCTGCCCATCAAATCCACCAACCAGGGGGACTCTCAAAATAAAATCGACCCATTTCATGGCTGACGAATGCAGAAGCCATCATGCCAAGGGACAGCGCCGGTGTCTGGTCGACAATCATAGCCTGCAGCGGCAAGAACACTTGAGCCATCATGACTTCAATACCAGTTGACATGTTCTGCACGTGTTTGCAGGGGTTGACTCTATACCGAGACAAATTTGCGTTGGAAGATGTTGTGCAGGGGCCCAGGGGTTGACTCTTTTTTCAAGATATCAAGACAAACACAAGGTGTTGTTCATGTCGAGGTGGAATATGTTTGCGGGCAGCTTGCAGCCACTCATGAAAGTCATGCTCAAATCTCAGTTGGAAAGAAGCCCAATACCATGTCAATGTAGAGGCTGTTTGTGGTCAGCACTATCACTCACTTCCTGAGTGGAGGCACACATTTCCAAACTTGGCTGTGGGTCAAAAATGCGTGCCCAAAATGGAACTTTGGTAAATGGATTTAAGGACTAAACCTGCGGTTTCGTAGTGATTCAATTTTGACCCATAGTCACTTGTTTTGCCACAAACTAACGTGGTCTTCCCAGAAAAGGGAGTGAGCTCATAGACGCCATTTTTTTCAGACCCTCCTTTCGACTCACATAAACCTGGCTGACTGAGCGAGCCCGAAGGAAGACACTGTTGCTGTAAAATGGACCCTCTTGTGGGTTCCATGTTAGTGGGGGGGGGCGTGGCTAGGAAAAAAAAATCAGCTTCCCGCTGATTGGTGGTTTGCATTGATGTCTTGAAGGTTTCGGGGTAAAGCATGCAAGACCAGTACTATGAACTTGCTTTCGCGAACCCTTTCGCGATGCTTTCGCGACCTCACGTTTTGCTTTCGCGGGCTTCGTTTTCTTTAGAATTGCTTTCGCGGCGCTTTCGCGGAGGACTGATTGAAACACACCCTTTGGACTGCATGAGCTCAGATGCTGCTGCAGGTTTCTGTTGACGATGGCCATTGGCCTTTCTGCAAAGTAAGTTCCAGAAACGGCGGTGCACCCGATGAGCCTTCGCAAGCTTTCGCGGCCTGCGTTTTGCTTTCCCGGGGGGTCTATAGGACAAGCCCCTTTACTACTTTGTATTGGCAGGGTTTATGGTGCTGCTCAATTGTATTATTCGTTGCATGTTTAGTGAGTCCCCCCATAATTTTCCAGATTTTAGTTCTTTGCAGGGGACGGTGGGAGGTTCCTATCGCTGTCTCTTTGCAAGTTTCAGGGGCGACTGTAAAAACCATACCCGCAATTAGATCTGCATCACCCTATCGCCACTTTTGCTTGCAGCCCCAAAGTACAACCCAAAATTGCACGCAAGCTGGAACAACCAAATTTATTAAAAGACCAACCTAGCAAACCAAACGCACAAACAAAACAAGACAACTACCCAAAAACACCAAGGGCAACTACACACAATGTCCCGAAACACAACACGAAGCGGCCAACCAAACAAAGAGACCAACCAATCAACCAACCAGCCAACCAACCAACCAACCAACCAGCCAACCAACCAGAAAGCCAGCCAACCAATCCGCCCGCCTGCCCGCCAATCCAATAGCCAGCTAGCCAACCAACCAACCAACCAACCAATCAAACAACGAACCAACCAAAACAAACCAAACCAAGTCAAACCAAACCAACAAACTTCAACCAACCAACCAAACCAAACCAAAACAAAACCAAACTAACCAACCCAACAAACAAACAAACAAACAAACAAACAAACAAACAAACAAAACGAACAAACAAACAAACACACAAACAATGAAACAAACAACAAACAAACAAACAAGCAAGCAAACAAACAAACAAACAAACAAGCAAGCAAACAAACAAGCAAACAAGCTAACAAACAAACAAACAAACAAACAAACAACCAAACAAGCAAACACACAAAACAAAACCAAACACACAAACCCAAACCCAACCAGGAAACAAAAAAAGAAGAAACAAAACTGAGCTCCCGTGATCAACCAACCCCGCCTTCCCCACAAAACCATAAACCAAGGCCCTCTGAGCTCCCCTGCGCGGGGATCGCGCATCAGAGCAGCCCTTGGATTCGAAGCGGCAGCACCAGGCGCGTTTCTTCACAGGCCACAGGTCCGCCAGTTCCCCTGGCGCGGCGAAGGAATGGGGAGGGATTTGGGGGGAGCGAAGGAATGAAGGAATGCAAAGCCATGGGGTGCGAGTTTTCTTGTTGTTTGGGGAGGGGGGCGAAGGAATGAAGGAATGCGAGGCCATGGGGATTGCGAGTTTTTCCTTTTTTTTGTTGGGTGATGAGGGAATCTTACAAAATGACGCAGAATACTTGGGTGCTGTAGATCCCCCAGCCAAAAGTGAAACTTGTTGCTGGTTAAAAGGAAATATAAGGGGAATCCAAAAAGTTGAAGTGTAAAGATCCAAGCCAATAGCCGTAGAGCATAAAATCATAAAGCAGGTCTTGGGATGGATGGGCCCAGGGAACATCACAGAACACGGAAACCATGCAACAAAAAAGCCATGGCCTTACATCTGCCCAAGGAGCCTCCGTGGCCCACCGGAAATAGGATGAACTCCAGGAAGCGTGGCTTGTATGTGATGTATTTCGGATCCATCCATCCATCCAACGCACATTTCTTGGTCACTGTTGACCCCCCTGCAAAAAACATCTTCACGTTTTGGACGTCTCGTCGCGAAAACCCCTTGTATCTCTCCCAAAAAGTTTTGAAGCCTAAAGATCCCGCCAACAGCAGTCAAGAAATTTCGGCCATGGACCCTGGGTCTTGGGGCCATTTCTGCCGTGCCCGGAGTCCGGCTGTTTGGGGGCAACCAATCTGCGGTTCGAACAAGGAAGCCGGCGCTGTCCTGCCTCCACCATTTGAGCTATGAGGTGCCATGCATTTTTAAAGGTGAACACTAACAGGTGACTTTTGGAAAATATATATATATATATATACAATCTGATTCGAATCAAACTACCCTAACAAGGACACCTATGGGAACACTGTGCAGGTTGGCTCTGCAGGAATCACAATAATTCACCGACCTTTGTTCCGCGCATATGCTGTGCCAAGAGTGCAGACTATCCATCGTCTACGTAAGCCGCAGTGGTTTGCCCAGATTACTTCAGGCCGTCTGATTACTTCGCAAGTGGCGAGTGGCCCTGGTTGCAAAAATCCACCCATCGCAAGATCCCCGCAGAGGGCTTTTGGGCCAGGGATTCTCCAACCTTTGTTCCTCCTTACCTGAGTTCGGTGACTGGCCGGGCATATATGAGTACAGACCATCCATCGCCGCAAGGGGTGAGTAGCTCCTTACTTCAACTTGCAAGTGGCCAGTAGAACTGGCTACATGCGCCTATTTACCCCTGGAAATACCCGTACATCAGTGGGTTATTTGGCCTGGCCTGGTCACCGCTTGAGTCGCAACTAAAGCCTGGTGCGAACGGAATCTGTTCCATATTTAGTCTACCCTAAAATATGTTTAGGTGTGGGTCACAAACGGTCAAAAATAGGTACCCAAAATGGGCTGACCATGGAAACATGGCCTAGAAACCGGGCGGTCCAATTCCTGGTGACCAATTTTTCGACTCATGCCCATTTGGGTTTTTTCTCAAAATGAAACCGCCTAAGGGTTACGCAGGCTTTAAAAATCTTTGTTCCCTTTTTTCCAGGCGCCATTTTGGGGTACCATTTTTTGCGCCACGGCCCATTTCATTTGCACGGAGGAGACCACATTTTGATCCCAACTCCCTGCCTGAGTTGCAGTCGAAGGTCCCCGCCGCCACCACCGGAGGTGGTGCCTGCACTCCGACAGAGAAATTTTGGGCATGGGTGGTCTGGACCCTAGGGCCGCCGGGTTTTTTTGCTGCCTGTGGTTTTACCTCCTTTTTTTTGCCAACAAAAGGGGTCCACACAGGGGGTGCGTAAAAAAGTGAAACACTTGAGGATCTTCACTGATGTCCAATGTTGGCCCTGCGAGTGTTCAATGAGTTGCTTCTCACCATCAATGGCCAAGGATATCACTCTATTTAGGGCAATCTACCCTCCTAAACGTTCACAAGGAACCCACAAATATTCGCCTGCCACGAACAGCTTGGCAGTTCGGCCATCTGGTTGGTAACCTAGCTTACAGCCGATTTATGCCCCCCCCCCTGGGTGCTGGGCAGAGTTCTCCCTGTTGCTAAAGGGACATGAGTCAGGTGGCCAAGCAGAGCCTAACTGGCAATGAACACCCAAGTGTCTCTGAACCCAACCCCCCCAACAAAAAGACTTGACTAGGTCCTCCAGTAGAGAGGTTAGAATAAGGGTACCCTTGTTTCTGTAGTCTATTTTAGCAGGGGAACCCTCCCCAAAAAGGCTACTGGGGGACCTAGTTGCAGCACCTCCAGCTTTGCACTCCCCACAAGTTGAGCAGTTTGCTTCTGGCCAAGTCAGAGTCAGGGAATGGTCAACCCCGGCCAACCCGCGCGTTATCGGGCTGACTGACGGAGTCTGCAATTCCTTTGGGCTTTCTGGATTTCATCTTGCTTCGTTTCCCCACGTGAGTCACAATCAAAACCCAGTATTGAAATGGTCCACCCAGAACCCTGTAAAGAATTCAGAAGGCTGCCGCAACTATTTATGGCTGGGACTGTCCTTAATCACATTCCTCTACCCAGGTTTTGATTGTGTCAACAGGGGTGGATGTATGGTGGGGGGGGGGAAATAAAAGATGGCGAAGGCTTCCCTAAACACCGGTTTGGGCTGGATAAAGCCTGTCCGACCCCCACTGGTGCGCTCGATCGCCCTGGATTTTGTCGGCACATTTTGTTTGCCGAGGGATCCTTGGGGTTCGAAGGGAAGCGCACAAAAACCTGGGTACAAAGGAAGTCCGGAATATCCTTCCAAGGGATGCTGTCTGTGGCATTGGTGTCCTCAGGTGAGCTTGGTTGATGCCCTTTGCCAGGGGCTTCTTGCAGCCGGGAAGCCGGAACTTGGCTTCGGGGGCGGTCGCTGTCGTCACGGTGCAGAGCCCGCCAGCCGGTGCAGCCTCGGCTCCCATTGGACAAAAGATGACCCGATCGCCACAAGGTGTTTTTTTGCTTTTTCCCATGTTCTTGTTTTTTGGTTGGTAAAAGGGAAGCCAAAGCAAAGTCAAACCATGTCAACCCCATGTTCTACCCTTGTGGTTTGCTGATCCTATAACAAGCTCGTGGGAACTGCACGCAAGGGATGACTCCAAATCCGTTCTCTTCACCCATCGTTCTCTTCAGAACCTGGCTCCCAACTTTCTAGCCTTCTAGCCGTAGGCCGTCTCCCCGGAATCCTTCTCCGGCCCGGTTTCCCTACGAAATTCAGGTGGCTTCCCTTCAGAGATCCCAACTAGGTCCTCCAGTAGTTAGAGTAAGGGTAACCCTCCCCCAAAAAAGGGTAAGAGGGCACTACTGGGGGACCTAGCCAAGGCGAGAATGGAATTGGAATGCAACCCTCACGCGTGTGGTTCGGTCATTGGCCTCACTTCGGGGTTGGCCCATTGAATGGCTCCAGGTTCTAGCCAGGTGGCTGGCCACTAGACGCACGGGCCGGAGTCAATGCGTGAATTTTGTGCAGTGTGAAGTTGGAATAGATGCTTGAGCCGTTACTAAGCTACATTGATATCTGCTACTCTTATGTCTCCAGACCAGCCGGGTACTTCCTAAACAATGGAAGATCCCTGAAAATACTGCCCTTGTTGCATCCCTGTCAAACCCGAAGGTAGGAGCAAGTTCCCTCATTTTGGAGCACATTAATGGTATCCTGTTCAAGATATTCTTTGGGGAGAGTCAACACAATATGTTGAGCCTTGTTGGGCCTTGTTGCAAACACGTCGCACAAACACGGGCTCCGTTTCAAAAGCACATATCAGCATTTAGCATTTACATATGATCTCCTCGTATGCCATGTATAAACTTCCTGCATACAATGGTGTTCCACATGTTCTTGTTTGGCAGTGGCTCAGCTTCAACAAACATGGGCTTGTGAGATGTTGGTTAAAAAAAAAGAGAGTATTCCGGAGGGGGTTGACGACCATCCGGAGCTGCGACACATTTCATGCGAGCCAACTCCCTGGAGTAAGGGCCTTTCAAACGGAATGCCCTCAAACTACTTTTAACCACGCACACTATCAGCCCTCTACCGTTCCGTGCTCTAAATTATTGCAAGTATTACAAGTCCTATAAGGGCCCTAAACGATTAGAAGGAGGCTGTAGGCTACTTTGAAAAAAACCTCAGTCATTAAACATAAGAGGAATAATGTTCGTCAGCCTAGGTCTTCCAGCAGAGAGGTTTTAATAAGGGTGCCCGATGTTTGTTTCCGTGTTGTCTATTTTAGCAGCGGAACCCTCCCCCAAAAAAGAAAAAGTTGGTAAAAGTTGGCACCAGTTGCTGGGGGACCTAGCAGCTTGTCGGCTGGAAAAGGGGCGAGCTGTGCGAAGCGGACCACCAGACCGGACCGCACCCCGCACCTCTGTGAAGGAAACCCAGGGGTTGGATTCCTGTGCTGTTCAAAGGGGTTCCAAGGGCCCTGGGTTCCAAGGGCCCTGGGTTTCCTTCTGGTCTCCCTTGAAAAATCGAACACAGCCTTGATTCATTAACACAGCAGCCTTGAGTTTCCCTCCAAATCCCAACCAAAAAGGAACTGTTGTTTGATTTACCTCCAAAAGGGGTCCAGCTTTAGGAACTGCTTGAACTTCTGGCTTCAGATTTCCCCCACCAGCCCCCCACCAAGCAAAAGGCCAAGTGGCCAATGCCATAGTCGCTGCAGCACAGCCGCTTCTGCTTCTGCGACCACTGCTCCCAAGTCTCGTCGTAGGAATCGCACTGGAAGTGCTCGTGCTCGTCGGTCACAACTCAGCTTCGGCCAATCTAGCGGCCTTCTACCCCTTTTGTTTACCTAGTCTCCATGACACTTTAAAAATGGTTGGTCATTACCTAAATGATGGGGTCGTTGAGTCATGGACCTATTTTTAAAGGGTCATGGAGACTCAATGTAAGGTGTTCCCGTGTCAAATCGACAAACAAAGTGTACACATCTTTTGTTTCATGGTCACTGGGTGTCTGGGATTAGTGGGAGGTCTGAGATCGAGCCCTCCTTCGAATGCCGACCCCGGTGAAACAAGCCTCGCAGAATAGAAAAAGGTTTTCCCAAACAATTCAAGAACCTTCCCGTTCAACCAGGGGGCTAAATTAATCCTGGGATCGATCCGTATCGGGTGGCGCAACCATGGATCCGCATACCTGAACCAGAAACTGCAACCACGGCTCCCTGAGAATATCGCCCCAACCCACATTGGCTTTTTCATGGGCCCCCTGGGTGTTTCTGGTGTTTCTCGAAATTAGTTGACCCCCTCCGGCTGGTTGGTTTCCTTTGATTTCCCTCTACACTCATGAAATTTTGAGTGTGTTATTTTGAGTCCTCCCTCCTTTCCGGAAACCCAGTTTTCATGGAGTTGCGTCTCGAAGTGGGAAGAACTCATGGGCGCTCTCCTTGCGACGTGCCAATGAACACCTTTATGAAAACCAGGAAGTAGAGGGATCTGAACAGGGATCCTTCATTATACACCTGAACATTGCCTTGTAAGTGGCGGTTTCCCTTTATTTTGGTGGAAAAAGCCATGTTTCAATTGGGCAAAATGTATCTTTTAAGGTGCCCTGCTGAAGTGCATCAATGGCACAAATCGATCCGCATGGGCTGCTTAACCCTTGTTGTCTTTGAAAATTCCCCGCTCAACATAACACAAATGACTGTGGCTCAAAAAACCGGTACCAAAATGGAACCCTGGTAAGTGGAAACATGGACCAAAACCTGCGTAACCCCCTGATTAATTTTGAGCCACACCCAAATGGGTTGCGGCGTCCTAAGCCGACAAAGGGGCGTATTACTTTGAGAAATTCCTACCTTGACCAGACTGAGACCTGCTTCTGGTTGAAAGGGGGGATGAAGGCACACCAAGGCAGACAAATGAAAAAGGACAGCGATTCGTCTGACAATTCTCCTTGACAGCATGAGGGAGGTCATGGTTTAGAGGCCCCATAGAAAAGGACTTCTTACATATTTGGTCCGGCAATGCACAATTTGTTCCGGCAATGCTTAGTCCCTAAAACAAATACCTTCCTTGCTTTAAAGCGCAAAGGGTACCCGTTCAACCTCCATGAGCTTTTGCGCCCCCTAGCAAAAATGAGAAAATACATCGAAGTATGTCCATTAAAACCAACCGGGGAACAGGTGTTGGCCCTTCGAGTGGTTGGCTGGGTTATTCTGAAGCAAATCTAGATCCTCCAGAAGAGAGGTTAGAATAAGGGCACCCTTTTTTCCCTAGATTATTTTAGTAGGGGAACCCTCCCCTACCAGGGAGGGGAGAGAAGGGCACTGCAGGACCTAGAAATGGAAGTCAACCACCATTTGGTCGCCGCTTTCCGCCCGCCCGTTGAAAAAAGGCGCTGCTCTGGACGCCGCAGCCGATACCCTGCAGGCAGCAGATCTGGCGCTGCTGTTGGGACCAGTCCGCCGGCTCGCCTGCCGCAAGAACCCAGGCCGCGAATATCCATGCGGAGCGGAAAAGCCCACTAGAAAAGGTGGCAGAAAGGAGCTGACTCATTGGGTTGGGGTTTTTCACAATGGCCACAAACATGTACTAAGCACTTGACTACCCTAGCCGATTGAGTACCATCCATGTGGAGATTTAAGGGAAAGCTCACTGTCAAAAAAGCCGTCCTACCAAATATGGACGCCTCGAGGATTGTTTTGAGGAAATGGTCGTGGATCCCCATTGGAGTTCTATGGCAGTGGGCGAAAAAGGCCAGCTCGAGCTGCTCCCAACCATTGGCTCAAGGATCTGAGTTTCACTATTTGGAGCCCCGCAACAAACCGGGGCGAGGTATGATGTTCAAGGGTAACTCTAACAATCGGAGAAACAACCATAGAAAGAGAAGAGCAAACATGGCAGTTTCTTGAAACGACTAACTATGAATAAAAAAAAAAAAAAACATGCTCCTGTGTGACCAACCGACTGTCATGAGTCCGATCATCGCTCAAACGGTAGCTGAAGATATTAGTAGAATCATCTTAATGTCCAGAGGGATAGGCAATGAGCTCTGGGGTCGAACGTAAGACTGGCGCCATGACGCCATTCTTTGAAAACAATCTCTGGGCTGCTCGTTTTCGGATCCCCCGCTAAAAGTGACTAACTTTTAGAGGGTTAAATGGAAACTACCACTAAACACTAAAAGGCTAAGAAGCTAAGGGGATGGCTGGGAGCCACCAAGATATGTTGACCAGTTCCAATACAAACTTCAGAGCCATAGCACACCGAGGCATGGGAGAGCTGGTGCCCTGTATCCTCAATGGCCCCCAAAAACGTCACTCATCGCTTGCAATGGCTCCTGAATCAGTTTATGAGCCACGGTCAAGATTACTTGTCTCTGAGAGGACACGGGAAAAGAGAGGACACAGATATGCATTGAAAGGAAATGAGTCCCCCCCCCTCCCCCCCAAATGGACCACGCACACGAATCAGCTGCTCACCCCACGATTTGCTGGCAGGTGTTCAAGCGGGTGGGGAGCCCCGGTCAGAGTCTGATCAAAGGCGTTGCCGGATCAACCAGGTGTTGCCAAGAAACCAAAAAGGGCCCAAACTACATAAGCAATGATCAATGCTTGCCTTCCAGGTGACATAGACACTCACACACCACTCAAATTACTATGAAACGGAGGTTTCTCGCTCGCCGATCTCGCCGATCTCAGTTGGAAACACAACATCTCACCGCGCATATCCCCGGTATCCGTGGATTGCAAGTAAAGCAAGAAGAAGCCAAGGAAGTCTACAGCGTGTTCAACGTGTTCTCCATTGGCAACTTGCCATGTTTGGGTACATCTCAAAACGAGCGCCCTTCCAAATTGGTAGGTTTCCTCTTAGTTCTCCATTTGAAGCTACCCCTCATGAGATACTTGGACCCTCTGGGCGTAGCTTCCATTCCGTCTCAGGGATCCTTCTCTTCAAAACATGGGGCCCAAGAGATCGATGGATGGACGAAATCCTGCACCAGTTGGGATCAATGAAGCCCCAATGGGTGCAGGAGTTTGCCTTTTTCAGGCCGACTGTCTGTTGTCTGAAACCCAAGGGTTGAGAGCCCCCACAGATTGGTTCAATTTCTGCGTGCCAATGCCAAGCCTTTGATACAATCCTAAAAAGCTGTGGGCAAATGATCAGAACTCACCAGCCATGGTTTCTTTCTCATTTGCTTTATTGCCATCTGTGTCTGACAGCCTCGGGAAAATGCGATGCATCACGACGCAAACCTCCAGACTCCGCACCTGAGTGGCAGTCGAAGCCATCCAAGTGGTGTACCTGATCCGATGGGCCATGCCCCAGATGCTTTCTTTGTGTGGGCCCTGCAAGACCAATTTAACCAGGCCCTGCAATTTGAAGGTAAGTTGTTTGTTTGAACCCAGACCAGCAAGCCACCCGTTTGGAAATTATGTTTTGTTGCTGTGCGTGATATGCATATTATGTATCAACTAACATGCAATCTTGCCCCAAAAAACCTTCCGCAGGTTGCATGTTCATGGGAGGGCATGGGGGAGGAAAAATGGGGTAGGGCCCATAAGGGCCATAAGGAAAGGGGGGCGCAGAAGCCTCCCTCGCGCCACATTCCAATAAAAAAGATCCGATCCCGCACGGTTTAAGACAAAGATAACCTTCACTTGTTTATTGAAACATGGTGGCGTTGCGGAGGGAATTCGGATCCAAAAAGAAACCCACCATGGGTCCTGCCCATTTGAGACCCAAGTTGAGCGGTACCCAAAATTCATTGTGGTTCTACCAGGATAGCTAATCATTTGATTTTAGTCGGTGAACTATTTTTCGCCCTTACTACAACTTACCCCTAGGAGAACCACATGCACAAACTCCCTATACCCTCCCTCCAATCAGAGAAGCTGACAATCGGAAGGTGCGAGAAGACTAGGTCCTTCAGTAGAGAGGTTAGAATAAGGGTAGCCTTGTTTTTCTGCAGTCTATGAAAGAAAGGGGAAGCCTCCCCTAAAAAAGTTGGTAAAAGTTGGCACCTAGCTAGGGGACCTAGAAGACCCAAGTTTTCGGCAACCTCCCCGTCCACTTCCTTCATTGGAGACCTCCATTTGCCTAAGTCCCCCTGGAACAAAGAAAAAACAGTAGTGAATCGATTCCCTTTAAAACCAACAGTGGAAAATAACACATATCTTAACCAAATGGAAGGAGACGGGCAGAGCTTCGGGCGCGCTACCCCGGTTGACAGATGTCGAGCCTCGTGAAAGTGCTCCGCGCCCGAGCATCCTTGGCGCCGGCCAAGTGTGGCCCTTCAAACAAGAAACGCAACCGCGCCCCATGAAATCTCCATGACCTTTCAAAAATAGGTCCATGACCCCATTATTTCGGGTGATGACCCTTGGAAAGTCAAGGTACAGATTTGTGCTTGTTGATCGTATCCGTCTTGGGCTCATCTTGAAGGTGAAACACAAGGATACCGTACAGTTTTGTGTTTGAGGTTTCTCAAAATAGCCCGCCCCCCCAAAAAAAAGCAGGTCATATCCCCAACAGCAAGCGGTGCTCTTTTAGTGCTCGCACCTCCCACCCTCGCAGAACCTTGAACCCTGGTGGAACCTTGGTGGAACCCTGCTGGAACCCTGGTGGAAGCCTGGTTGAAGCCTGGTAAAACCCTGCTGGAACCCTGGTGGAAGCCTTGTTCGCAAGGGGGACCACCTGTATATACCCTTTCCAAGAGAAACCCTTTTCGCAGGGAAAGTAATAAGAATTCTACGGCTATCAAATTGCAATAGGAAACCGCCTTGCAGGTGGTTGGTGGACATCACTCTCCAGATAAATACTGTCCACCAAAGGGTTCCCTCAATTGAAATCATTCAGACCCACTTTGATGAGTGAGAAGAGCATTATGGCGTATCTCTTCTTCTCTTCTACGCCACTCTGGGCTGGCCGGTGAACAAAAAATGCCTTTGCCAGGCGCATCTAGTGTCTCCATGACCCTTCTAAAAATGGGGTCAACAAGAAATGGGGTCATGGACCTATTTTTAAAGGGAAAGGTCAGGGTGAACCGAAAGGTGGGCTGGGAGAAAATTCTGGGGGAAAGAACAGCACTTTGGGACCCTAAACCCAAGCAGGAGATTTCTGAAAATTTACCCGAGCTTCATGTACCCCCGCTATGACTTTCTCCTGGAGCTTGCCACTTGCCCGAACAGTCCCTGCATTGGGACACACACGAGATGATACAGGCACCGAAAATGGCTTGGGTTGGGACATTTAAGCTGGTAGGGGGACATTTTTGGTGGAGCCGAAGGCAGGGAAACCGCCCATTTTCAGCGGCCCCTTTTGAGACGGGCCGAGACCTTGTCTGCGGACAAATGAACGCCAGATGCTTTCCACGCTGTGGTATAGGCATCTCCCTGCCTGGGTCGTTTCCGACCCAGGCGCCGCGCTGTGGGCCATGTCCGGCGCAATGTCGTCTTTGCGTATGAGCCTAGGCCTCACCACAGATGCCATGAACTCTTGGCATCGTCTGTGGGATTGTCACCGTCGGTCTCAGGCAGCCCTCTTTGCTGCCTTCTTCGCCGCCGGAGCGACACCGTCTTTGGGCTTATTGGCAGCTTTCTTCGCAGCCCTCTTTCCTGCCTTCTTTGCCGGAGCACCATTGGGCCGAGCGATATCGTCTTCGGGCTTGTCACCGTCGGTCTCGCCCTTCTTGGCAGCTTTCTTGGCAGCCCTCTTTGCTGCCTTCTGTGCCGGAGCACCATTGGGCCGAGCGATATCGTCTTTGGGCTTGTCACCGTCAGTCTTGGCAGCTTTCTTGGTAGCCCTTTTTGCTGCCTTTGCCGGAGCACCGTTGGGCCGAGCGATGACAGGAGGCGTGTGTGGCTCCGGATCAATTCGAGAACCAAATTGAAGTGCTTCCGGCCCACATACGCAACCCTCAAATCCCGATCATGTCAGTTCTCAGGCACGAAGGGGGTGCTCGCCAGGTAGGGACCGGTGACGGGAGAGAAGCTTTCAACAACAATCTTGTAGGCGTGGTGGTCCACGAAGGCCTTCAGCTCCGGACTTCCGCCCCAAGAGCCGTCGCACCGCATGCCTGCGTGCAGCAAGTCACAGATGGAAAGGGTTCCCGGATTTCCAAACATTAACGGGAACCGAAAAGGTTGTAACGGGAACCGAAAAGGTTCACGGATTCCCCAGCCTTGGACGTACTCACTAAAGTCAACATCTGGGTGCTCTGCCTTGGCATGCCACGCATACGACTCCGGATTGAGCTCCAGTGCCCAGACTGAGGCAGACGAGGCAGAATTGCCATCTCCATCCATCACCATCTTGTTTAGGACCAACATTGCTGCCAGCATTTCACGGACCGTGCCCTTCACCATGAGATCTCGCTAGCTTTCCAAACTGGACTCCTGGCAGGAGATTTGTTGTCGCTCAGTATAAAGCAAAAAAAAGGCACGGCACAAACCCCCTCCTTGTAGGGATCCGGATTGAGAGCTTGCGTGTGCGCCAAGTGGAGATACGAGCAGATCTCCGACGTTGGCGTCAAAACGCGCAGGTGATCCTGGCGAACCGGCAAGCCCTTTCAACCCGCAAACCCTGTTCAATCAATCATCCTTTGGCTTGCCTCAAATTCAGTGAGCGGGCGAATCTTGATCAACTCCTCAATGAAGTTGGCCACCATGCCCGCACAGAAATCCACCGAGGCAAGCAGTCTGCCTGTTTCTTGGTTCAATTAACTTTCTGAGGCGCGTCAGCGACCTTGGAAGCCATTCCCACAAGGGGACATTGATTCAGAGTACAGCTGAGAGCTTGAGATCTGAAAATGCTTTGGCGCACACGGGCCAACTTGACCGAACCCGTGAACCCTTTTGGAGCAGCCCTCCAAACGATTGAATCCGCGATTCCTTAGCATGGGTTGACAGTGCAAAAGGCAACACGCCCAGTATCAGAAGAAACAGGCCAGCACCAGCTCGAGGGAATTCCTCTCGCTATCCTTCAATGCCCTGGAGTACATGGCTTTGGCGTGGCCGTTACTGGCACCCGTGCGCACAAGTTAAGGCTTTTCTCTTTCAAGCAACCCTGCTTCGGCGTTGCCCGTACCCCCGTCACCGTTAACCTATTTTGAACCCATGAACTTTTTTTTGGTCTCCGTTCTTCGGCATCGTGAGTATCCGTCACCGTGCACCCTTTTGGGCGATGAATCCATGAACCTTTTTGCAGAAAATCCGCCAACAGCTGTGGGGTGGTCTGGGGTTCCGGAGGCTCAGTGGTCTAATGCAGGCCAGGTGTAAGGTTCAAGGAAGGTTGTGGAGGATTCGGGGCATGTGCAGGCCAGGTTTCAGAGGTTCTGGGGTGGTCTGGCATAGGCCAGATAGAAGGTTCCGGGTGGCCCTGAGGCAAGGTTCCACCAGGTCCACCAGGCTTCCACCAGGCTTCCACCTGGTTCCACGAGGAAAGAGCACCGCATGCTGTTGGGGATATCACCTGCGCATATTCTTTTGTTTTTTCCCGCGTTTGCGATGCTTCTACACCACGCACTCAGCATCCCGCCAGAGCAGCTCGCCAGTGGATCCCGCCGAGTGAGCTCGAACCATGCGTCGTGCAGTGTGTCATGCTTTGAGTTTATGGCTAGGTCAAAAGGTTTCGAAACGAGCCAGACTGTCTGCGTTTGATATGGCTGCACACATGCCTGTGAAGACATCTAACAGCATCCCTCCAGTTGGCTGCTGAGGCGCAAATGGCATGCTTGGTCCTTGGCCTGCGGTTTTGCCCGCCGGACTTTGTCAGGTACGGTTGGCCTGGTGCTGGGAGGCCTCGTGCGCTAATGGCGTCCCTTGATCGCGCAGACATGAGCGGGTCGGCAGCTTTCTGTTTTGCATGTTCCATTCTGGAATCGGCGGCAAATGAGTCACAATCAAAACCTGGTACAAAAAAGGTGAACCTAGAACTATGTAAAGAATTAAGAAGGCGGCCGCAGCTATTTATGGTTGGGATCGTCCCTTACTAACCTTCATCTACCCGGGTTTTGATTGTGGCTCAAATGGGTGTGCCGTTAGGCGTGGATGCCCACCATCTTTGCTCTTGCCTTTGCCCTTGCCTTTGCCCTTGTTGCGTGCGGGTTCTCGGGGTTTCGGGGTGCGCTGCTCGACATGCGGTCGCTTAGGGGCAGGCAAGGCTTGCGGGGGCTTGGGTGGTTTGGCTCTAAGCGTATCTTCAGAAAATGACTGGAAAGGGGACTTTTCTTACGCAACCCAAAACACGGATTGAGGATTAAACAACCCAGGGCCTGAAGTACTTTTTGAATCATTTTCTCGATTGCATGTAATAGATCAAACAAAGCCAGGTAACGCGACCTTTACTTGCGCAAGCGGCGCGGCCAAATTGCCGGCGGAGGTGCCGACTTGGTAATCCCGGCAGCAGAGGCGGCGCTGCTTGGGCGGCCAAAGCGTGGAGTCCGTAGTGCAGTCGAAGTTGAATCCCTCCTATAGACTGGGTCCAGGTGGTTCGGAAAATCGGAGTATCTGGGGTGTCCAAAAAATGAGTTTGGGTTTCTTAAAAGCCGCTCCAAAATAAATACCCTCAACAAAAAAGGCGCACCCATATGGGTCTGACTCAAAATGGGGGACCCCTTGTTTGAATGGTTTGAGAGGCACCTTCTTGACCGTTTTAGCTTGGAGTGCCCTTGTTACATTCACATCTTGGATCGAAGGACTGGCTCTTTCTGATACATGGCGAATTGCTCCTGCCCACTTGGCAAGCTCTGTGCTCCGTGATGCCTTGACATTGACCAGCACACGCGCGCCGAAAACCAGTCCAAATCCACACTCCCAAAAAGAATAGACGTGCCTGTGAGTGGAAGGGCTCGTGAGGGGCGTCCACGTGGAAGTGCACGTGAGGAGCATCCAAGTGGAGGTGCGGGGGCGCATCAACGTGCACCACGTGCACGTGGAAAGAGTGGGACACGTGCACGTGATGCACGTCGCAGCCCACGCCGCGGTTCCTGCGACATGGCCGACCGGCTCACGCCGCGGCTTTGCGCGGCTCACACGTTGACAGTCCAACGGGAGTAGTGGCACTTGCGCCAGGGTTCCATCCTTGCAACTTCCTTGCCAGGCCAGGAACTTCCTGTTTTCAGTGGCCAGTTGCCTGCCAAATTGACACCACAACGGAATATTGAGTGAGATCATTCAGCTTTTGACGGGGCTCCCTATACTTCCCTTTTAAACATCACCCCACCAAAAGGAAGCTCCTTTTCAATTGGCCCGAAAGGTGATGTCTAAAGCCATCAAAACGGAAATTTCGGGAGCCCTGTTTGTTGCCCCAGTATTTCAGGACAATTGGCAAGTAACAGCCGGAGAGTGCCATATCGGTTCCCGGGGTTTTGGGGAATACCCAACCTCACGCTCGAGGCTTCGTGCCTTCAACGAGCGGGCCATTCTAAAGCCAGCAGAAAGGACTCAGGGTTTTGTAGACACCTCGTCAACGGTCATTGAGTCAGTCCATCCGTGGTGAAGGTAGAAACCCGCTGTGCATTCGGAATATTGGCAGGACGTGACGGCCAAAGCTCGCCCCAAAGCCTTGCAATACGAAAGTTGCATTATCCCGACCAGCTTGTCACATTTTGAAGCGCCGCATGACGGCTCTTATCATCCAGAAATTCGTCCGTTGCCCACTATCGGTAGACAACGGAGGAAGTGACAAACATTGGGCCCACTGTGGGAACCCTCACATAGTTGCGCCTCCTCCTATCCAG